TAATCATCGGGTTGCTCATTATGATTGTCAACTAATGACTTCTAACAAAATGTGCTCTCTAAATAAAGTAGCACCTTGCAAAGTCCAACCAGAAAATATTAAAGTAACCAATGCTTATGTTACTCTTTATCAGAGACATTATCGCACAAAAGTAAATGCGACATTGTGTCCAATCAAACACCAATCAATGCGTTGGTTCTGCGATTCTTTTGATTAAAGTGGTATCGACGCTCGAAAAAATTATGATCACTACTGATCTCCATTTATCTGCCGATCAATGTAAATCGGCCGCCGACAGAGGCTATCTTAACCTAGGCTCTGCTAGTATTGGAAATTTTCCTTTCAAATTTAATGTTAAAACAGTAACTAATGCCCATGCTGGCAAAGTTGACGGCGAACATCATATTGAATGTGATGGCCGTTCTTGGGTTAAACTGGACACTTATGAAACTTTCATGCAAAATGTAACTCTGACTGTTAACCTCAAATTTTTAGAAAAACGAATACACCCGTATATTCGGGAAAGTACAATACTATTTAGAAAAATGCGGAGTAGCCTTCGCCTCTTTTCTATTTGTGAAATTCATACTAGATTGCCTAGTATTCATAATGCATATTCACAAAATCACCTGCCGCTCACTACACTTTGGCAAAGTATTGCTTGCCGCCTCTTACAATATACTTTTCGCTTCCATAGTGACCTCAATTTTCACTCAAGATGAGCAAAATGAAAAATTAGAACAAGAATATGATCAAAAAATACAAGCCCCTCTTTTAGAGGAAATTGATAAAGTAAACCAGGATCGCATGTATCCTCACATCCAATTAACAAGTTTTGAGAGAAGAACTCAAAACTTGGATCAACCAACAAACCCAGTCTAATAAAAAAAATTCTACTGTTCTAGGATATACCAACTGATTCAACTATGGACGCAACACTTGACGACAACGTGAGAGGATTTGAGGATCTTCTCTCACTCCTGCCACCAACCGATCCACTGGACTCGCAGATTTCAGCACTCACTCAACAACCAACTGTTTCTACTACTACAATCCCCACTGCAAAGCCGACCTCAACAGGATCCGTCGTTGAGCCACTACTTCAAACCAATTCAACTGTCCCAATAACTACAGCATCAAAACCACCACCCCTAAAATTTTCACCCCATGATTTCAAAAACCATATAATAAGATACTAACGGCAAATACGCCGGTATCAACTTCTCAATATCCAATGACCATTAGGCGACAGCCCTTACACCCCACTGCATTAAATACTAAATTACCTATTCAGTTAGAAAGGGAACGATACATTAATTCTAACAGTAATCCCGGCTTCGATATGGATCTCAATTATTCTTTGAATCCATTAATCAACCGTTTTAAATTAGAAGCCTATCACCCCATAAAAAAAATGTACCCCATAACTAATTCCCTTCTTGAGTATCAAAAAATATATGTCCCAGCAAAATATCTGACAGCAAAATTACAAACCCCCCAGTTGGATGACTTACTGAACAATTTCAGCGCAGTCATATACATGAAACGCATCAAATCCGGGAGCTAAAAAAGCAAATCCATAATTTGAAAACAAAAAATCACCATTTTATAGCCCGGTTGGAAGGAAAATTAGAAAAATTTATCTTTCATCTAAACATTTATTCTTTCGTTTTATATAGCTATGTAGTATAGCTAATAATTTTGCTTTTCTCAACAATTTTGATTTCTATAAAAAACAAAAAAAAATACACCCTTTTGTATGAGCCAGTCCTCCCCGTATTACGCATATGGACACCCACTTCACATACTACAGGACGAAAAGGAAACTTCGAGAAAAGAATGTTCAAGGAATGATAATATTAAACTGACCTGCAAACTTTTGAGAAACAAATAATTTTGATGTATTTAATTTTATAGTTAAATCTCTTGGTTGTGTAAACTCTATTTTGATATATAAATGTAACTGATGTATTTATATTCATTCAAGCCTGACTCAAAGTATCAGATGTTCAAAAACATCTGCTACCTATCTTTACCAACAAACTACTGAACAAATTTCATGAGATTGAAAGAAAAAGCTTTGATCGATCAACAATTACCCTACTATTCAAGTGAAAGTAAAAATGAAAGTTTTAGTTTTTTTCCTCTCCAAATAGGAGGATGGATATGTTCTGATTTCAAATAGAAACAGAAACATGAATTATTTTATTGAGCTCACAAAGTGTGACGCCGCCCCCACCACAAAATAAATATGTTTTTATTCCCATGTAAAAGGAAGGGAAATGCTTTTGGAATATTTCGTATAACGTTTTAAGCATTGAGAATTGAAACGACTCTTCTCGTTCAATGCGAATAAAAACGATTCCTCTCGTAAAATACGAGCATACGAAACATTCTTCTCGTAAAATACGAAAGTACGAATAGAGAATACGAAGTTAAGAAGTAACTTCTCATTTGATACGAAAAGTGGTACGATTTCCCATCTGAGTGTAAATAGAAGCTCAAAACTACGGGAATTCATTCCCAACAATATCTCTTCTAACACCAACACCACTCTCTTCAACCACCCCAACCATTCTCTAAAATAATATCCAATTCAGTAAAAATATCTCTAATCTCATCGTTAAAATAGATATTGAGTCAAAAGGCAACTTGCTGTAAATTCATACTAACTTCTTTTCTAATAAAATATTTCTCAGCGAATTTTAGATTTACTTTATAAGATAGAAAGTAGAAAGGACCCTTTATTCCTAGCAAGCGTTTTGTCCGGCGCACATATTGTTGCTAGCTCGTAATATGGCCCGGCGATAAGTCGTTGAAGGGGGGGTGGGGTGGGTGAATTTGGTACTAAAACGGACTTTTGTTGCTTTCATCATTTTTGAATCATAGAGAGACAGGCTTTAAAATCTAATATAGTTGATTAATTAAAACATGAAACTCCAATAGTGTTGGAGGTCGTAATAAACTTTCAGAAATCAGATGATAAAATTAAATTCGAGCAAAAAAATTAGATCGGTTTATCTCGACAGAGAAGTTTGGTTTTCAGAATGTGAATCAAGGCTTCAATATGTTACTATAATTGAATCCCAAGGTGGTCAAATTTGGCTAAAAATCATCTAGCCTGCGCCCAAATCACTTCAAACTTTAAATAAATAGTTGAAACAACTAACAAAAAAAATGCCCTTAATTTAGTGCTTTGAGTAAACATTGTCTGGCTTCTTTTTCAAAAAAAAATTTGTCGTTTTGCTTTATGATTTCGGAAGCAGGCATATGTCACAATATAGCAGATGAACGAAATGTTGATGAAACAATAATGAACGAAATTTTTTCTAGAAAATTTGTTTAAAACGCTTTTTTGGGCTTTTTTGGTGTGAAAAAACAACAAACATCGCCCGGCAGAAAAAATATTGATTTTTGCAAGTTGGTTTATTAAGTTTTGTCACAAAGTTTTCGAGAACTTATACAAAACCTTTTTGAGATTGTATGTGAAACTAATAAACTCTGCTCCATTTAAGGCGGGGGAAGCAAATTTAGCTTTTGTGAAAAAATTCGATTACTTTTTTCAGGCCGGCCTTAGACGATTCTCTGATATCTAAATTACTAAATCATCTGTAAATTGCGCAGCTTTGTTTTAGGCACTTTTAGAAGAGGAACCAAAAAGTGCTCTTTATTGGGAGAATGCTGCCAATTTTATGTTAAAATGTGCTGAAGGCTCACTCAGTCAGTCATAACTAATCTTGTCATTGCAAAAAAGAGGAGGGGGTTTATTCAAAAAAAAAACCCTGGTCATCCACCCCTGTCCTCCCAAAAAAAAGTTTTAAAAAAAGAATTACAAGCCCCTCCTCCCCATTTTCGATCAAAATCGAAACGCGTTACCTTGTGGTGCCCTCTCTTGTTTTTGGTGCCCAACTGGAGGTACTGAGGGTCCATCCGAGATGGTGCTCCTGAGATATAGTTTTTAGAATAAGATTTATGGCTGAAATGGTTCAACATTTTACTATACTTGAATCTCAGGGTAGTCATTTTTGGCTACAAAACATCCAGCTTGCGCCCAATTTACTTCACACTTAGTCAAAACAGTTAGCCAAAACGAAAAATAGTAAATTTTTTTCCAAAAAAAGTATCGCCATTAATTTATTGCTTTCAATCAACATTATTTGGCTCGTCTTTTTGAAAAAAAAATCCTTTGAATTTTTGCTGTCGACACAGGCATGTCACAATTTAGCAACCAATAACTGCGTCAGAAACATTGTACTGAAATATTTTACCTATTTAGGAGCGCGCCATGCTGAATGCTGTTAAATCTATGGAGAAATCTATAATTGTCTTTTAAAAGTGTAACCTTGTAATTCGCAAAAAAATCATGAAACTCAACTTGATACAAATTGAAAAATTTTCAAGAATTGAAAAGTTTTTCTTCCTTTGCAGTATTATAGCAGAGTTATTTATGTGAAAATAAAATAAATTTTTTGACTAAAGTTAGCTGTATCGGTCTAATTGTATCAGTGCTAAGCCGGAAAACTGATTCCAACATAATATTTGATTTTTTTGTGCATGTACCAAAAGTTTTTTTTGAAAATCTGTTTCAAAATATTTTAAAGTTTAGTCTAGAAAAATAGTTTGTAAAGCTTTTTTGGTTTGAAAAAGAACATATCTAGCCCAATAGAAAAGTGCATTGAATTATGCAAGTTGATTTGAGAATTAGAGAAAACATGTTGTAAAAGGTATGTAACAAAAACGTGTGCAATTTTTTCTTAGGAACTTTTAGAAGAGGAACCGAAATGTGCGTTTTATTAGGAGAACACTGCCAATTTTTATGTTCAAATGTGCTGAATGCTCACTTAGCCAGTCATAACTATTCCTGTGATTGCAAAAAAGAAAGGGGGTTTATGAGAAAGTGAAATCCTTGGTCATCCGCCCCTGCCCCTTCCCAAAAATCCGGCCCTGAACCCTGAATAGAATAGTAATAAAAAAGAATTACAAGCCCCTCCCAATTTTAGATCGAAATCGAGGCGCGTGACCTGGGAGTGCCCTCTCTTGTCTCTTCTGTCCAACTGGAGGTGCTGGTGGTCCATCCGGAGTTCTCCCAGCCCCTCTTCTCCCCCCGAGAGACGGAGGTGGGGCTGCAGGAAATGAATGACCTCGTCTCGTTCCTCACTCAAGTACACGCGTTTGACAACGTCGGCCAACAGCTCAGATACTTCATCATTGCAGGTGAACACTTTTTTTAATTAAAAAACACACGGATCTACTTAAAAATCGCCCTCCTTCTGGTATCTACTAGAGAATTGCCACCCCTGCAAATAAAAGCAGTAAATAGCATTAGAACGATGTGTTCAAATTTCAATTTTGTGCATTCTGATTGCCAGAATTTCCTTTAATGTAATCTACTTAACAATTGACGCCCTTTCTTGAAAGAAGGGGGATTGTTAAGTAGATCCAAAAGCACTTTACTTTATTTTATACAAAAAGTATTGGAAGGTGTAACTTAAACATGACTTTTAAACAATAAGAGTTTTTTGGTCATTAGCATTTTAATTGGTAAACGAGTTAGTTAACGAGTTAGTTTTAGAGAATAACTAAGATACTTTGTCCTTGCCGGTGAATTATTTTTTCAATTTAAGATTAATAGATAGTTATTTCAAAATCAAATTTGTTTCTGCTAATCAAAAATCATTATCCTTTAATTTGTTACATGAGGCAAAAAAACCGAGAATTTTTCAAGTGATTGCAGGTGAAACACTTTTTCTTCAGGTGAAACACTTCTTTTTGAAAACTTTTCAACATATTCTAAAACTTTTTAATATTAATGGAAAGTATTTCTATAACTAAATATGTTACTAAATACTAAATACTAAATAATACTAAAACTCAATCAAAAATCGTGGAAGGACAACTGAGACACATTATTGCAAGTTGAACAATTTTTTTTCAAAAAAATCAAAAGATTTCGATTCGGTAATAAGTTGTTTCTTAAAATCAATGGAATTTATTTCTAACAGAAAATTTGTTCTCTATTAAACAAAAAAATTAGTTTTTATTTTTGCATGCATTTTAATTGATAGTGATTTTCGGAGAAAGTTTGACCAAAAATTGAATTGTTCGATACTTGGTCAGCTGCTACCGACGTTCTTCCTAACGGCTCCACCAATGCGTCAAGAGTTTTCAATTTATATAGCTGCTATATACTATCATGTAACGTTATATTGTATTAAAACACACTTTGGTTTAAAAATATCAGACAATAGTAATTTCGGTGAGAAAAAAGCCTTGGTTTTAAATGAAGAGTTAAATGGTTTTTGCAGGAAATGAGATGAACTTATTTCAACTGGACGCCATCTCTGGCAACCTGTCCCGTTCAGGCCTTCAGGTGGACAAGGAGACAGTGAACCCTGACAAGAACCCTGGAAGTGACGTCACTCTGTCTGTCCAGGCCACCAGACTCACTGACATGATCCGGTCAGTTCAGTCGCGATAATCAATGCCATGTGGGGAGGGGGGGGGGGGGGGGGATTCTGGGAGGGGGAAAGGGGCGAAGAATCCGTCATGCGAGAATAACCAAGCGCCCAAAAATTATGTCAAATAATCAGAGCTCAGTTTTCGCACTTCAGAAAAAAGAAGCGATAAATTCACTCAGTTTTGAACCACTTAATGGATGTTGATAGATTGAGAATTTTTGTGCATTCGTGGCTCTTTGCGCACGAGAATTGATGGCGTTTCTTTGCGCCCTGCGCGATGGTGTTTCAAATTAAAGGCCAGCTGCTACACAAAGCAGACAAAATACTTAGCAGTTAATTATATTATAAAACAGTTACAAAAATCACACATTTCCAGCAAATTTGGTTAGTTAATATGCTATCAGTGGGTAGACCAAAAACGCTAAACATACAGTTTTTATTTATGTAAAAATGCTAGTCTTACACTTTTCAGGCAATTCTATAAGAGGTGAAAACCGCTTGAAAAGTCGATAATTGGTAATTTATCATATATGGAAATTGTATGACAAGAATTTTTCCATTAGCAAAAAAAAATGATTTTTTTAAAAATTTAATTTCTCAAACTTTTTGGGTTGTGTTTCTAATCGAACACACATCACAAAGACTTTGGTTTAATTAAAATTAGAATCATCAAAGGTTGGACAATCTTGCATTTACAATGCATAGGAAATAAATTGAGAGTTATCTTATAAATTGAAAGTATCAAATAAAATTTTGGCATATATTTTCAGAAAGTAAACTTTTTGCAAAGTTTGAAATTTTAATTAGTCAGGCATTGATCAGGTCATACCTAGAGATGCCATGCAAAAAATAGGCGTTTCGAGAGTTTTTGAAACTTTTGCCTATTCAGGACTACGATGTGCATACAAAAAAGTAAGTTTTGCAATCAATTTTTTGGAAAATGTTTGTTTGAATTAAAAATGCGTTTTGCGGTTGAAAAAAAAATAAACTTTTCTTTGGGGACAAATTCGAAACTACTTTAAAATACTTTTACTTACGACAATACACCAGTTTTTATGCCCAAACAAAAAAAAATTTCCTTGAAAGTTCGATGGCATCATTTTAGCTAAATTTATGAAATTTGTATAGGTAAAATTGTTTCATTGACTTACTTTATGGAATTGTATGATTATAATTTTTGAATTTTTGGTCTATGGAGCTCAACCCGGGATACTGATTTTTGGCTCGTTTGTACTTTCGCTCACTTCTTCTGATTTATTCAATAGCCACTCAATTATGATTCAGACCAAAAAACATTGGGAAGCAACTTTGGTATCAGCCATACAAAATCCCCTCCCCCTAAATTTTTTCATGGTTTCCTTATTTCGCCAGGCTTAACACTATAATTTTTCCTTGTGGAACTCACAATTGTCTGAAAAAAAACAAAAAAAGACCGACCCAAATCAATCATTTTGTTTTTCAAATCATCCAGTTTGCTCAAATCAATATTTCTAATCCATCATCCAATTGTTTGTGATAAATGAATTGGGAGAGACTTGTATTTCCAATTGCAGAAAGATTAATCTCGTTTGCTTTGATAGCATTTAAATTTCCTTTACGAAATTTAAATATGAAAATTTTTTGTCACTTCATATTTTTTGATGAGCGGAGCGCAAACTTCAGAATCAGAAATTAGTGACTAGTTACTAAACAAGTTTTAACTTTAATAAAAATTACCACTAATTTTTTCACTGGTTTGTGTTGGGAAAGTACCATAACATAGCCAACACACAGTTAGAAACGAGTCACTTTTTTACTGATCGATAGTAGATTTTGCCTTCCTTTTAACAAAAAAATGAACTAAACTAGAAAAAATCAAAATTTAAAGCGTAAAAAAAATTGAATTCTGAAGAAATTTAACCTAAAAACCCATTAAATCATTCATACCTATTTAAAAGACTAAACTAAGCCAATTGACCCGTAATTAGTTCCAGTTATACAATTTTTTGCGAATTTGCTCCTTAATTAGTTTGAAATCCATTTCATCTTTTGTTTATTACAAATTTTGCGGTATAGTTTTTTAAATGTGATCAATGACTATAAAAAAACATTAAAAAATTCCACAGTTACTTTTTCATTTGTTTTCATTAAATCTCCATAAAAAAATATAATTATATATAGCAATCTGTCTCTGACAATTAAAGTTTAGACATAATTTTTCAACTTTCTAGTTTCATTTGAGTTTAGCTAAGTAACGATATAATCTATCTTAGAATTTGTTCCAAATATGTTTTTTTAATGTTTTGCTGTCTGCGAAACTTATCACTTTGAATTTACCACAGCGTGTTGAAAAAAAAAATCTGGAAAACATATTTGACTTTTTTTAAATGTCATCAAAATTTTTTCAGCGAACATTGCTCTATATAGATCATAATGAAATAAAAACATTCAGGGCTTAGCCCTGTTACGAGCAGTCATTTTGAAAATAAAAAGTAATGAGTTACTTCAAAAGATTGAGCTAGTTCATCCAGTTTTTTGCTCTTAAATATTCTAAAACACTCAAACACAAACTTCGGTTGCAATTGAATCTTGTTAATGATGATCTCTAATCTATACTAATATTTTTTCAATCAAGCTTCTCCGTTAAAACTCTTAATTTTGTAAAAATTTAGGCTAGACTCAAAGTTACTTCCTTAAAACTCATATTTTCTCCCTGTTGTTAATCATTATTCGGAGAATTCACTGTCGAGAAAAGTTGGTCTGAACAGACTCAATTAGACAAAAAGTGATGATGACTGACTCATCGCCTAGGGGCTGAGAGTTTCACTTAATTTCTGCTACAAAATTTTAGATACTTAAATTTTCAAAATTATTTCTCATTTTAGCAATTTTTCTTCAATTTTAGTATTTTAGTAAAAATATTACATGTAGCTAATCTTATTTTTCTACTTTCAGCTTCCATAATCTTCAAAATTATTATCATTATGACTTAAGCAACAACAAAAAATCGTAAGAGGTCTCCTTGAAATAGTTTTGATAAAATAATTGAGTAAGAATTTTGGTTAAGCAAAATGAATCAGCTCACTGAGATTCTTTTCGTGATTTATTAGAAATTTTAACCCCTAGTTTTTAAAATTTGTTGAAATAAAGTTTTTTTACTTGAGTTTTTCCGTTAGATGGAACGTCGAAAAATATTTTGATCTCTTTGTTTGCTCTTTTATTATTTGCACAAAAAAATCTCTGATTTGTGCCTTTTGCATGATTCCTGGAAAAATGAGCATCATGTCCGCATAGAAAAAAATGCTTCGAGACTTTTTCATTTCAAAAATTTGTGTACAACAAACTTTAGGTTATTTGGGTCGCTGCATGCATTGAAAACATGATCGCTCTGTCTTTTAACAGGTGGACAAACTTGCCTCCAGCGGGCTTAGCTGACAGACCTCACTTCTCGTACACTGAGAGAACATGCGACACTGATTCGGCCGATGGTGCTCAGAGTTCGTGTGTGGAGACGACATATAGGGTGTTGATTTACGAAGACACGCCATCTGATGGCGATGAAAATGGAGATCAAAGAAGTATTCGAAGGAACAGACGAAGTGCAATTGCACGATCAGGTCAGCAGTTACAATTGTATATGGTTATGTGATAATAATTAGACATAATTGGTATAAGGTTATATAGTTATAATTGGATATAATTTATTGTATACGGATGGTATCAGATAATTTCTCGTATATGGTTAACCAAGTCAAGAACGTTTTTATTTAGATTTCTTGAAATAGGCTTTTCTAAATAGATTTTTTGCTAATTGAAAAGAGTTTTTTTCACCTTTATTGCGATTGAGAATAAAGTAATATAACAAATTATAACATTCGCAATTAAGTTTTAAAAATAATGATTTTCAGATTCAACAACTGACGAACCAGAAGAGACTTGGACTAACCCAAGCATTCTTCTGGTACATGTGTACATTGAGGATAGGAATGACAACTCGCCTGTCTTCTTTCAATCGGAGTACAATTACATGGTCACAATCAGGGCTCCTCTAGGGACTCAGTTTGGAAGGGTTGAGGTAAGAACAGGTGCCGATCTAGGAACTTCTCGATGGGGGGAGGGGGCGGATATTCAAAAAAAATTAAAATTTTTCTCAACCTTTTTTTAGGTCGACCAAATTTATTTTCTGAGCTCTCCCAAATCACTATAAAGACCCTTTATTGACCAAATTTTCTGCGCCGCAAGCAACTTTTTCAAAAAACAGGCCAAAAAAGGGGTTTCTATGCACTTTTTGAAAAATTTTGACCTAAGAACTGCGTTTTTCGGCGCCCCCACCCCCTTAAAATTAGTATATATTGGCGCCAAAGGCGCCTTCAGAAAAATTTTGGAAAGTTGGATATCTCAAAATAGTACAAAGGGGGTCGAAACCTTGAAGGGGAGGAGTGTCCGCCTCCCGCCTCGCCCCCCCCCCCCCTAAATCCGCTGCTACTGGGTAAGAATAAACGCAGAAAAGAACACTGCAACTATTAAGAATAATGAACGTAACGAAGACTCATATATTGTTATTGGTGATTTTTTTTTTCAGGAAAAAGTCTTAAAATGCTCGAATAACTACGAATGTGCATTCATACATATTATTGCATTTATAATTACACTTAGATACATTTGCACTTTTTGAGTTCAATTGAAATCTTTTCAAATTCATCTGCTGAAAGTGACGTAAATAGTACTCTCCGAATACGAACGTGAAAATGACGAAAAAACGTGAACTGTTTTTAGTTTCGAAAGTTGAAATTATTTTTAACATTTACCTATTGATCCAGTTTTCTCAAGTTGGGTTAATGTTATCAAAAGATATACAAGAAGATATACTTTCTGAAATGGTTTTGACTTTCAGTAAAATGTTGGTTTTTGATCTTTTCTCTGTTGAATAATTGAGTTAAATTTAGGCCTCGGACGCCGACATCTCCAGTGAGATCCGCTACCGCATCTTGGGTGCATCGCCTCCCGAGGCTGCCGACTGGTTCTCAGTGGACAGCATCAGTGGTCGTCTTTACACAGACAACATGTTCACACTCTACTTCGGTAGACAGTTCAACCTCACCCTGCAGGCATATGATGACTACTTCACTGCACGAGCTACTGTCAAGGTAAAAATAAAACCAGAACAGGTCATGACTGATTATTTATCTAGGATTATGACAAGGAACCGCATAGAATCATGATAATGGGCTATGAACGGTTATGAATATGGATCAATAAAGGTCATGGCAATGGGTCATGAACGGTGGCCATGAACAGGATTTCTCAAAGGCCATGA